CTTTCAGGGAGGAGGCTTTAATTGAGACCTTCTAAGTTCTCTCTACACCATGGCAACCAGCTATAATCCAGATAGTGGTAGCTCCATCAGCCTGTGTCCTAGAGTAAGGATGATACAAAGCAAAGGCCATAGGCAGCCTGTGATGATTTAAGCCAGAGGCTGCAAACTTTTTTTGTAAAAAGGACAGAGAGTAAACATTTTAGGCTTTGTGAGCCATATGGTCTCTGTCACAACTACTCAACTCTGCCATGTAGCACAAAAGTAGTCGCAAATAATACACAAGCAGGCATGGCAGTGTTCCAATAAAATTTTATTTATAAAAAACAGGTAGCAGGTTGGATTTGGCCCACAGGCCATTATCTAGTGACTCCTGATTTAAGCCCCTGAGACTTGGGGGCTTTCTATTTATTACTGCACCATAACCTAGTCTATCTTAATTAACACGAATTCTCTATATCCAAGGATTCTTTTTATTGTGAAAAAGAAAAATTGTTTTAAACTTACCTTTATTTTGACTGTTAGTTCCTCATTTCCAGAAAGAGCGTTTTCATCAGTCAGTGATATTAGCCTTATCTTATCCAAAGCGTCGGAAGCATTTGAAATCAGTTCTCTCAGGAAAATCTAAATAGAAGCCAGATTTAATACACACTTAGGTTAGCCACAAGATACACAAGACACTACATTTAATGTTTAACTCGTTTTATTTCTCCTCTGTACGCTGAAAAAGCACTCTCATTCCTTAGACTTCTTATGGTACAGAAGTGGCTTTACTCTCTTGGTAAAAGAAGGTACAGCTCTTACACAAAGAACTGTAATGACTATAAGGGATACTTGAATAGTAACACTGTTCTACTAGTGATCTTCAGGAGTGCAATACATGAGGCTTGGTTTATGTGATGGCCTTTAAGACTTTAAGTATTTAGCAGGCCATGAACATACTGGAGAGGAAAGAAAAAATGTCTGACAATTCCCCACTCACCCCCTCACCCCAAGATACCTAGTAGCAACTCTTGTACATATAGTACTGGATAGTTAAACCTGGCTAAGTATTTACTTGGAATTACTATGTAAGTATACTATGAAAGCAAACAAGTATGCTACACAGAGAAAAAAATATATTATTTGCTTACCTCTTTATTTTTATACAATGAATTGATGATAAGTTTCATCATTCTGTTTACTTCAGCTTGGAAGGCAAACTTTTCTGATTTCTCTCTAAGCTCTCTTATTTGGGATGCATTTAATCCGTCCAACTGAATAGCTTCTTCCTCTCTAAGAAAATAAATTTGATACGCAAATAATGCATTGCTTAGTTTCCTACAAAAATATAGGATCTGTGATGAGAGCACAGTGGTCCCTTAAGATTGACTACAGGGTTAAGAAGGTCAAATGGAGACCTTTATAAAACAATACCAATCAACTATCTCATTGTTATTTTACCACAACAGGTTACCTTTAACACCAAGTTGGAAATACCCAGTTTTAAAAATTGTCAGAAAAATAAACTCAACTTTCCTCTACTAAAAATAATACTCATTTATGCTCTCACATTCATGAAACTGTCCCTTAGCCTAGGAAGCTTTAGCCTCTAAGTGTCCATAAAACTTAAAGTCCTAAGAGGCCAAATTTTTAAAACTGTTCAACAGACAGAATTCCTCCTTTTTAAGTTACTAACTGAACACACTGAGTACAAAACCAACTGAAAGTCTCTTCTAAAGTTATAGCACTAATATTCTGCAATGCAGTTATCAAAATAGTTTTCAAAGGAATTCATTAAAGTTTAACCATTCTTAAGGGCAAGTTAGAAGATATCTATGTGTGTCCATGCTTGCTACATTTTGTCTGAACATTTTTTAGGTATTTAATTTCGGGGTGTTACACACTTCATCTGGACATTTGGAGAAACAAATGAAGCCACTGTATACCACGGTGTTCACAAGAGCTTATCTGTGTACTTTGAAAGGAACACAAACCTCTGTACTACTTCATCATCCGTCCTTGAGCCTTCTCTACTTTTACCCAGATCCTCTTCTACTGTACCATCCACATCGACTTCATCATCAGCTCGGACTGACCCTGAAGAAAGATTTAACACAGAAAACGTCTTAAACATTGTTGCTGCTTCATGTACTCTCTCAGAAAGAATATAATCAAATAGGGCAAGGGTAGGGGTTGCAAAATTCAGTTGGTAAATATGGGAGGTGGAGATGGGAGAACGGATCCACTGGTTTAAATACCCAAAGTAAATATGTGGTAATTAAATTTATGTATTGTTTAAGTTCAGATACTAAGGTTCCCAAGTAGATTCTAAAATATGGAGGCAGCCATTACTTCTAAAGAGCCATCCTCCGATCCTTTATAAATAACATTTAGCAGATTTGATACCAGGCCTCTTCTACATTCACACGTGTTGCGCACAAGCCAAGACAAGGCCTACAAAGTGACCGTGTCAAAACTTAGGCCTTCAAATAAGGTTCGTGGGTCCACGGGCCAGAGAAAGGGAAAAGATTTTAAGATGTTAAGGAGCTGGAGCAAAAGTGAATCAGACACGCTAACATTGCCTTCCCGGTGACCCAGCTACCCGGATCAGCTCCTAAGAAAGGAACGCGCGTTTGCGAGGAGTCGGAAGACGTCAGGGGGCGGGGGTCCTCAAGCTCAGATGGCAAAAGGTTGAGGCGTGTGCAAAAGTTCTTCGGACTGGGCACCCGCAATGATCTCGAGGGAGCGAGAGCTCGAGGGGGCCCCACCTCGAGGTGGTTGAGACCTCCAGGCGCGGATACTAGATCTGCAGAAGATTTAAATAACTCCGTTCTTTTTAATTCCCTAAGAAGGCAGAGTAAACGAAAGACCCTGAACCTCTTTCGAGGAAAGGCGATGGAGCCCTCGGTCCAGCGAAGGCTCTGTTATCCCCCTCCCTGACTCAACGCCCCCAGAACCTTCGAGAAGAGGCCGCGCTTGAGCACGGGGGGTGGGAGGGGGATCGTCCGGGGGTTCCCGCTTCTTTGGGATCACTCACCAAAGGTCAGCAGCACGCAGCAGAGGCCCAGCACCCACAAGGCCCTCATGGCGCGCGGACGGAGTCTCAAGTTCCTTTTGATCGTAGGAGCCGCCTCCGCCCCGCCACCCCTGGGTTCCGAGGATCAGACCTCAAGCCGTGCGATCCGCCCACTAGTCCCCAAGCACGTCGGGCCGCTTTTCACCCCGCTTCTTGAGGGCGGGGTACGGGAAACACGAACTCACCAATCGTACCGCACCACGCACCCTCTTTAACCAATGGGGACTCGGGGGGGGAACCGCAATTCACCAATCGGAGCTGTCCAGGTGCGGTGCCTGATGCGCGAAGCGTGGCTCCGTCCGATTGGTCAGCCTTAGCCTCTTTTGTCCAATCAAATGGCTCCGCGGACCCCTCTCACGCGGGACCGCCCCTTTGCCTGGGGCGCTTTGGCCTCTATGGGAAACCGTCCAATTAACGTCAGGTCAGAACACATCCCTCTTTTTGGAGCGGTCGCCCCGGAACCACTTCCGGATCCTAGAGAGCGTTTCTTCCGTGGCCAGGGGAAACGGTAGCCACGGTAACGCATTTTTCCTCTTTCCCCTGACTGCGCGTGGGGTCAGTTTGCGAGGATTCTAGTGCGACTTTTCGCAGTCCGCTTTCTAATCGGCAGCGCTTCTCGGAAAAGAAAAACGTGAGAGGTAAACAATCCCCGGAGCGCTTTTTGATGGGGGTTGTGAGTACAGTTCCCGGCATTCAACGTACTAGGGTACATTGTACCGAATGCCGGGAATTGTAGTCTTCGACCAGCTGCATAGTTTGGTCCTTGCACGTTTTTCCAGCAAGTCCTTGCGTGAACTCTGCGCTGCGTGTTTCAGAATTTACATTTCGTTCTGATTGCAGTAGCGATCTGTACCTATTGCAGGGCTCTGCGGCGTACACAGCCTTTAGAAGTGGGCCTAGAAAGCTGTCACGCCTAGCCCAAGGCCGCCCTATGTTATGGGGGTCGGCCTCTCTGAGTCGGTTCCACCGCCGGCTGGGAAACAAGCGTTTCCGAATCTGGCATCTTGTGAGTCACTTAGGCAGCCTACCCCTTCACTCCCTCTGCGCTTTCTGCCTCCGGAATCTCGAGGCCTCCACGATTTGGTTTACAGAAGAGGGTAGTGGGGTAGTGGGGCTTATTGTTTTTGTTTTTTTTTTTTTTTCCCTTTTGAGGGAAATTGCTAGCAACGTTAATGGCCTCGACTTCCTCATAAAGTTCAAAGGCGGTGACCCGGCGGTCTTAAAGTCTCTATTGTAAGTCAGTTTGGAGAGCATGGTCATGAAGTTCGGTCTAGCATAGAAAAAGAAAAAAAAAAACTTTTAGTTTTAGCGCGTGCAGGAGGATACACCTGCAGGTATTTGAAAGCAAAACCTGTGGAGCTGCAAATGAGAGAGGGAGTGCTTTGTAACTTCATAGAAATACCTAGTCAGCGATCAGAAAGACATAAACCACCAGGTGTCTTTCCTGTGAGGGAAGTCCCTCCGACTAGGCTTGTGCCTTCGGACATATCTCTTTAACCTAGTCTTTACATAGCCCTCACCCTGACTCGCATCCCGTTTCCAACAAAAGCCCTCCCTCTTCCTTATTGTTCCCTCCAGGAATATTTAACTTCGAATTTGTTTTCATATAATTATCCGAATTCCTAAAGACAGGCTTTTCAGTGATAGACTATCAATCTTTTATAACTTCCCCTGTATATATTTGCCAATCTTAATTCTGCGGTTGGTGTTAACACATTGTGGTGGTGCCTTATTTACATCTGCCCAAATTACCTACATTTGTTATTAGTAAGCAAAACATCGTTTACACAGCTTTTTAAAAATGCTTCTGTGCTTTTTTAAAATAACACTAGGGTGTTATTTACATTCAGAAATCTCGAAGAATGCATTTTTGTACGTTTTAACTTTATTTTTTGTTTTAGATGAGTTCCTTCATTTTTTTTGCATTTCACAATTCAACTACTTTACCTTTTTCTCTAGCTCTGAACAAGTAAGCAACCAGTTCTGAAACTGCAAATTCCATCTTAACTGGTTAGTGGTAGGTAGTTGGTGCTGCACCTGGAGGGAACTGAGAATGAGACATGCCCTCCAAAATAGATCCATTGTTTGTGGGTGTACTTTTCTGCAGGTGATGGTGGGAATTTATGAGGCAGGCAGAACATAAGACAGTAGACGGGCAGAAGATGGTTGGCTGTTGTTTGGCTCAGCTTTGCCCGTTTAAGATAGGATTCTTGGCCACCGGCCCTATGAAAGGAATGGGCAGCTTACTCAGTTCCCAGTCTTGTTTCTCTCCTGTGGTCTCCACCTCTTCCGACTTGACCCATTATGTACGGTCAGGTCCCATCTTGGTCTAGCTCCTTCAGAATTTACACTCCAGATTGCTATTAATCTCCCTCCCTTTGCATCTGATTTCCTTCCTAATTGTAGTTTGTCCCTTTTGACACTATGTGTCCGTGGACACTACTGGAAATAGCTACCTTTGTTGTTTTTGTTAAGCTTCTCAAAAGAAAAGAATAGATAGGCAAAGGGGTGCCATTAGGGGCGATGGATCACTCACCTGGTCAGCAGGTATAGTCCAGCAGTGAGGAGTCAGTGAGAACACAGACTGGGGAGAGCAAGGCAGGAAAGCAGTTGGCATCAGGGAGCATAAAGGAATGGGGCTGAGCGCCAAGGCGAATTTGTTGGTTGGTTGATTCGTTCACTCATTCATTCATTTATTAACCCAGTAAGTGTTGAAGACCTGGTATGTGCCAGGTATTATGCAAGGTGCTAGCAGCATAGGGGTAGGCAATATAGATAGGGTCTCTATTCATAGAGAGCTTATTAACAGTAGAGTTGCATCATAAGCACATGTACTTTATTTAAAGGCAAAGATAATAAAAGCCTGACTACAAAAATACATGAGGGAACGTTTTTGGGATGATGGAAATGCCCTTGATCTTGATTTTTGTGGTATTTAAAACTCATCAAACTGCACATTTAAATAAGTGAATTTTCTCATTTGTAAATTATACCCCCTCAAAACAAACAAACAAACAAAAACAAAGCTCAAAGCAACTCTCATTCTAAACAACTAAACACTAAAAACCCATTTTAGTAGGCAGGAACTAGAGATGTCCGCTATCGTCAGTATCGTTCCACACTGCTTAAGAAGGTCTAACAGTATGATAAGAAAATGAAATAATTGGCATTTAAGAAAAGTTGATGTCTTTTATTTTGAAATTCCTTCTTACTGGTGAAATGATTATATATCCCAGAAACCCAAGAGACAGTAGTTAGCGGAGGTAAAAATTACACATACACACAGAGAAAATATGAGAATGGTAAAATTTTGACTCTGAAATAAGTATATAAGCATCAATAGACTTGATCTAATTTGCAGAAACACAAGCGGAGATTTTTAATGTTTCATTCATAGTAGAGACAAAACCAATAAAAAACTTAGTAAACTTGACAAGAAAGACATAGCTCCTATATGAAGAAAACTAGAAAATCTTACTGAAGAATATAAAACAAACGGAGAACTTGGGTCAGTTGCCATACCGTAGGTATTATCTATCTGTAACAAATTACCCCAAAACTATACAGGTTAAACAACAAACGTTTATTATCTCATGCAATATGTGTAGGTCAGGAATCTAGGAATGCTTAGCTGAATGGTTCTGGCTCAGGGTCTCTCAAGGGGCCACAGTCATCCAAGGCTTGACTGGGCCGGAGGCTGTGCTTCCATGGTGGCTCACTCAGAATGCTATTGGTAGGACATCTCAGTTTCTCACCACATGGACTTCCCCATAGGGTTATTTGAGTGTGCTCACAGTGTGGCAGCTGGCTTTTCCCAGAGTGAGCCGTGATCCAGGACAAAACAAAGCAGGAGCCACAATCACTCATGATCAACCTCGGAAATCACACACCATCATCTCTGCAGTAACCCTACTCAGTGAAAGATGAGATTACACAAAGATGTGAATACCAGGAATCAGAGAGCACTGGGGCCATTTTGGAAGCTGATGGCTGCCCCACCCACCCTAGCTCTAAGGGAAGCTGAGAAAGGCTTTGATATTTTTAGCTTCTTTTGTTGAGGGATGGGCTCATAAGGTGGGGATAAGAATCATAGGTGGGGATTTCTCCAAATACAGAAAGGCGATTCAGATGCTGTACAGTCAAAAAGAATAATAAATGTCCACTATATGTTTGAATATACCAACAGATCAGTGCAACAAGAGAGAATCCATAAACAGATTGTTTCAATTTAATACATGACAAAAATGATGTTTCAGTTTAGAGAGGAAAGAGTAGTTTTTTTCATAAATGATACTGGCCTTGTCCTGGTTATCCACCTCAAGGAAAATAAAGTTGAATTTTCTCTTATACCATGTAGAAAATAAATCCAGCTTAAAAGAAATGAGCCTGTGAGTATATGCTAGGGGGTCGAGAGACCTTAACCAAGACTGAGCATCCAGAAAATACAACAGAAAGCCTAGGTTTACCAGGCCTCCTCCTTGGTGGGCCATGAACTCCAGTTTTGTCTTTCTAGCACTAGCATTTTGAGGATGCTGAGCTTTGCTTAGCTTATCTTCTAAGAATATTGGTTCTGCGTGGCGTAAGAATCAGCAAGTACTTGGAAGGGAAAAGCAACAGAGAATGTAGGGCTCACTTTTCTAATTTTCCCTTCTCTCTGGAATTTTGTCTCCTCAACTCCTGGTCACCTGAGTAGTTATCTGATGCCTTTAAAGAAATTCTCAAGTATTTTATCCAGCTTCTCTAGTTATTTTTGTCTAGCATAGTACATTGACCTTTGAGATTTCCTGTTGACCGGAAATTTTACCAACAACATAAATAGTTGACTGACATGTTTTGTATGTTACATGTGTTATATACTGTTTTCTTGCAATAAAGAGAGAAAATAAAGTTATTCAGAAAATCATAAGGAAGAGGGAATACATCGACAGTACTGTATGTATTTATTGAAAAAAATCTGCGTATAAGTAGACCCACGCAGTTCGAATCTGTGTTGGAGGGTCAACTGTAGAATGTAGGAGATGTAGATCTACATGGTAGAAATCCCTTGTCCTGTTTTAGCGTTTCAAAAAAAAAAAATTACCACGGTTTCAAATAACACCTTAAATAACCAGATTTATTGTCTCTTAACCTTTTGGTGGCTTTTCATCAAGCAATTTCTGTGATGTTTAATGTTTCCAAATTATGGAACTTGTATTATATTTTGCTATAGAACAATAAATGTGTTTCCAGATATTTAATTTAATTATAAGTATAGTTTACACATCTTTGTTGTGACTAGTTTTAACTGCAATTTTGGATTGTTTGTGATCTTCCTATCCCATGCCCCAATTCACACCACATTACCCTGCTTGAGTATTGACTTTGAATTTATAAAATATTTACGTGCATTTGCTAATAAAATTTCTGGGTGCTGTGACTCTCTTACATGCACTCAGAAAATTCAAACCTGTTATAAATTAAATTCACCTGTAGTCTTGTAATTTGCATTTTATTTTCCCCAGAGTCTGCCTTAGAAAA